ATTTTCACTTGAATGTACGCTAAATAAGCCGATAAAAATTATGTCAACAAACATCGAGTTTAGGCTACAGTGTTTTCATGCACTCAAATAAAACTTTGTGAAAACTAAACGGCTTAAAATAAACTACAGCTCAACTCAGCAAATGTTTCGAAAAACAAATATTTAGAGACTAACCTGATATGAGGAAAAACAATCTGAATTATTCCAGTCCAAATCCCGTTGCAAGTCGCTTCACGGCGAGCGATAATCCCGTTAAATTTCTCGGATTCTGTTCACAATCGATCTAAAAGTCCATCATATTTTCCTCCAAGTTTTAGCCAAGCTTGAACAGCTGATTTAAAATTCGTATTAATTGATCTACATTGAATTTCCTACGGAATATTTCCAGTTTGATGAAAAGTTGTCTCTGTTTTGAGACGGCGATGCGAATAATTCGTGTTGTGGCGTCGTTGTGGCAGGGCGCGCGTGTTTTCCCGCCACGCGTGACGTCATTCGTCCGTCTGTACTCTAATAGAGGACGGTTTTAAACCAATCACAGCGCGAGTTTTACACAGTAAATTATATAAATGTTTATTTTGCACGTTATCTTTACTAGTTAACCATTGACTTTTATATGGAGACTCCCAGATAAAAGTGATGGGGGTGATCGCAGTACCTTTTAGGGGTTAAAATTCGTGGTTTGGTACCGCTTAGTGTGTTAAAACTCTAAAATTACTTCCGTTGGAGTTATTCCGGTACCTTTTAGGGTATTTAAAAGCTGGAAAACTATATAACTGGGCCATGTTTTGTCTTAGAATTGGTACCTCTTAGGGGTGAAATTGAATTCGAGCCACACTCACAAAACGAGATTTTGGTACCTTTTAGAGGTTCTTTTATCACCCCCGTCACTTTTATATGAGAGTCCCCCCCCCCCCCCCCGGGTCGGAGACATGGGGGAGGAGAAATAAATCACTGCAAAATATCAAAACCTTCGTAAACAGCTGTCTGAGACGGATATACAACATTTAGTGGCCTGAAAAAATTCGCAATGATTAGCTTTGGAAGCGAGCAGAACAAGAACCGATTGGTAGTCAGATTCTAAGGAGAAAATGGAGCTGGATTGGCCACACGGTGCGGAAGGCACAAACGAACATCACCCGCCAGTCCCTGACTTGGAACCCCCGGGGGAAGAGGAAGAGAGGCTGTCCCCTAAACAGCTGGCGACGGAACACTGATACAGAGCTCAAACTAATTGGTTCCACCTGGAAAGATGTTGAGAGAACAGCCCAAGCTCGTGTTCGCTGGCGAGCTGTTGTTGATGGCCTATGCTCCTCTTGGAGCGACGGGCCTAAGTAAGTAAGTAATGGGGAGGTTTGAGTGTCTGCTGACGGGCGGAGATGGAAATGTGAGCGCTGCAGATGTGCGAACTGTAGATTAAGGCGGTAAGGCAGTTACATTCAGAAGACCATTACAGAAGCTGTTCCTCATTGAGCTTAGTGGTAGGAGGCAAGAGATGTTCGCTGTAACTATCACATTAGTGGGGCATGCAGAACACGAAAACTGAACTTTGAGTCAAAACTTTCAATATTTATTTACGTTTGAAATGTAACCAGAACTTATTTTAGTAGTTATGTTACCAAGTCAACTAAACAGAAACCAAAATTCGTTTTCGTTTTGTCATATTATTAGTTGATCGACACACCCATCCCTTGTTAATCAAAGGGTGAGTATGTCCCAAATTTGGAAATCACGCGATTTTGTTTTTTGAGTCGAGTAGACCTTGTGGTCGATTCTTGTTCATTCGAGTGTAGAATTCAAGTGTAGTAGATTCAAGTGTATTTCACCAGAGAATACAGGGGCACCCAACGAATCTGTTCCTCGCTTTATCTGTTCCCCAGCCGAATTCTTGCTGGCTGGCAAAATATTTCGGTCTATTTTTTAGGCTGGGAAATAGTAATGATTACACGGTCATTATTTCCTGAGAAAAGGGAATATAAAATTTCCCGAATATTCAAACTGTTTGAGACGGCAGTACATTATACAAAACAATATTCGAAAGGTTTTCCATCGATGTTTAATTAGTTCCCATGCCCCTTTTGGTTACTTATTATTATTTTAATATTATTATTATTGTTGGCTGGGAAACAGACAATCTTTATCCAGCTGGCTGGGAATTTCGCCGTGTGTCATGCTGGAAAGGGGAACAGATATATTTTCCCCAGCAACGTAGAAGAACACCTGGAAATGCTTTTATATCATTTATTTTCATTTATCTGGGTAAAATAATGCATTTTACAAAAAAATGTTCGTTGGGTGCCCCTGAGAATAACCAAAATAGAATCCTTGATTTAGTAATTTGACCAGAGTTCGAGCCCAGCCCGTTCGATCCAGAGTGCAACGCGCTATCCATTAAGCCACCACGCCTCCCGGAGCAAACGACGTCATGTATTTTGGCTTTGTAAACAATCATATTAACTTATCACATTTAACTATATTGGAAGATATGGAAAGCGAACAATATGAGTATTTGTGCTATTTACATGTAGTAAACTAAATATTACATTGCAATCTCTATTATTTGACCATAACTCCATCCAAACCAAACTTTGTCTCCATCCCAATACTAAAATAAACTTAACTTAACTTTATCCCCATTGTTCAAACTACTATATTTCAATACTCGGATATTGCAAAGGCTAGTCAAGGCAGATAGTGTTAGCATCAATATGTTAAATTTAGCTCAATATTATATATAAAAGAATCAAAGTGTCCATGAGCCACTGAACTCGGAAAATTATGTTAAAGTTAATATTTGAAACACAAGTTGCCTTAATAACGTGATATCATTCTTATCTCTGTATGTGAAACACGCAGAACTCAAATTACGTTTTCAATTTATCAAAATCGTTCGAACATCTAAACAGATCTACAAATGAGAAACATTGCCACTAAAAGACTACTAAAACAAATCACTCGATGGGTAAATCGTGTCACGTCCACGTCAACAACCTCGGCGACGAGCTATTTGCAGGGTTAAAAAACAGCAACCGGCATGGTCAATCCAGCACTTCAACACTTCGGTGAAAGTCAGTACTCAGAACTCACTTGAGTCTGCTGTGATAGTCAAATAACTCAGCGGCTCAATACAAACCCAGTTGATAAATGACTTTTTCCTAAAGATTTTCTGTTGTGTCAACGTGGCGCAGTGGATATAAGCACCGCTTTAAAGTCTGGAGGTCGTGGGTTCGACGCCTAGAAGGTTCCTTTTTTTTCTTCTTTTTTTTTCCCTTTACTTTTTTAACGCATGTATTTATATTTTTTTTGGTGGTTGAGAATTTCGATTTCGAACTCAAACAAGGTGTTTGTTTATTGAAGGATGAAATAAATAATGAAATGTAAGACGGCTTCTCGCCCTCGATTTTATACTGCTGGAACTTAGATTTCTTGAACCCTCGATTTCTCGAAAACCCCGATAACTCGAGCCAAAAGTCGTTTCCTTTGGATTTGTTTCACTGTAATTTTACCCCCGATATTGCGAACTTCCTCATTTCTCAAAACAATTTTCGTTTCGCGTGGAGAGTTCCACTGAATGTCCCACTGTATATTATGCGCAATATATGCGCAAGCGTTATGCACTAGTCAGCGGATTTACAAAATGTTTAACAGGAAGCGAAGGAGCGAAGGAGCGAAGGAGTAAAATTAGCCTCCCACAGCTACAACTCGGAAATGGCTTTGAGCCATTTTCCGAGTTAAAAATGACACACTCTTTAAAGTGCAACTAGCCCCAAAAATGTTTATTCGTGGAAATAAATTATTGTTATTTGAAACTTTACTGTGAATAATTTTTTGGATGGTTCAATCCTCGATTATCTGTTCCCCGGCAAAGTCACCTAAAACGCCGCAATTTTTGTTCACGACCGCGTTTTTTAGGGGAATGGGTCCAGCGGCTAGTGACGTCAACCCGGGAACCTTGGATCCTTTGCGTCCACTAATTTCCTTCAGGGAGATGCGATACACATTAGAAAAGTATGTAGAAACGCTTTCAAGGTGCGTTATTGGCCTTTGCAGCAACACCCCAGATTTAGAGAAAGGTATACTATATCATTTTGTAGCGATCGTCGAGAAAATACGAAAAAGGCAGTGGATTGTGTAAACTCAAACGAGCGAAGTAAAGTGGCACCGTCAGAGACATTGATCAAGAACTCTGGAATTTGTCCGCACACTTCTAGGAGGCTGACTTCCAGAGGCTATTTAACCCGGTAAACGCCAACTAGCAATTCGACCAAATGTTACCGAGAACCTATCTCTACCATCGCTATTCAAAGATAGCAAGAAATGTCAGCCCATGAATTTCAGTAGCGCGAGCGTGGAATCCGAGCCGCGCGGAGCAAGCCGGTTTTCAATCGATCAACTATCTCTTGGCTGCGTCTCAAGCAACTCTTAATACACTTCTCTATAAACTCTCGATATACGAATTTTAAGCATGGACCAATACTTAAATAGGACAGAGCCAAAATAAGCTTTATTTGATGGCATTTGGTAAATTGTAACCTCGCTAAACATCAGTTACATGGTGTACGACAGCAGTAGCATTCGCTAATATTTTGAAGCGAATCACGTTTGCAGTTTTCACATGAACACCTACAATAAAGGTAAGAAAATAAGACAATTCTGCTCTGTGTAATTTTCACTGCGAACGCGAATACCGTAAAAGCTCTATTTAGCCCCCCCCCCCCCCTCTATTAAGCCCCCCTCTCTAATAAGTCCCCCTTTGGAAGTCAGATTTTGTAATAACCATCCCCCTCTCTTTTAAGCGCCCCCTCCCCCTTCCCCTTCCCCTTCCGTCAGGCTGATGTAAATGACTTGTCAGCAATATTTTCTGTCGTTTCAGTCACTTTGTATAGAAACGTTGTCTTTAATTTCCAGAACTATCGTTGAGTAAGGGTATAAATAACGTTGCATTTATAATACGGTCATACATCATGACAGTTGCAGTTAGGGTTGCCCCCCGCGCAAGAACACAACACAGTCACCCCGCCCAGGGATCGAACCCGGACCGCTCGATCCCGAGTCCAGGGCGCTAACCATTAGGCCACCGCGTCTGCCACAAATTTCTCCTTCGTATCCATTATTTCGATCGAGACGCAAAGAACCGGTCCACGTGATGACCCAATTAATGTCTGCGAAGACTATACCAAACTCAGGAACAAGCCTCCAGTTCTTCAAGAGCTGATGCGCGGTAAAATTAACCGTTTGTAATGTGTTCGTCGTTTATAATCCGTATTAATCTTCCCAATGATAGGCTTCCTTTTTTCCTGTTTGGTTTATTACTTAATTTCCTCTTTGGATTTTCCTTCTTTAGTAGACTGTTATTTTATGGTTACACATTGTAGTTCCTTTTGCATCCCAAGATAAAAAGAGAGAGGAACTCGGGCCGACTGTCTTCCTTGGTAAAGACAAAGTCAGTAAACGACCAAGCGATCGATGGAATGGTTGAGAAGGTTTCACGTTTTTTTTATTATCAGGAGCACCCAACGGATCGTTTCGGTGAAATATCTGTTCGGAAGGCCTGTAATCGCCTCAGATATTCGGTTAGGGAAATGTCATCTCAAACTTTCTAAATATGGGAAAATTAATGCCTTATGTTTTCGGAGAGACAAAAATGTCGTTTTTGGGTACAAAAATAGGTCAGCTAGGATTTTCGGAAAGGAAGAAGCAGCTCATAATTTCGGGTAATAAGATTCCAATCCCTAAAGTTTTCTGAAGTTTGAAAGTTCAGCTAACGTATCCGAAGAGATACATTTTTCTTAGTGTTTAAAAATAAGCCATTAAACTGCACAAAAAGCACAATTATAACGTAAAAACGACGTTCTGACACCTACAGGAATATTTTGTCGTTGGGTGCCCCTGTATTATCATTACTGGACACAAGTATTCAAACCGACTGAGGAGAACAAAAAAGACAAAATTGTGTTCTTAGCAAACTTAAACCATTCCCTTGGTTAAACCTGAAAATGAAAATGAACGTTTAACCTTTTTTCTTATATATGCTTGTGCTTCTTATTTCACCAGTGCATGTGACCAGAGTAAAATAAATACAATTATAACATTTTTTTAAATCATTTTTTAAAGATCAAAGTAACAGGTTCTAACAGGTCGGAGGAAAACGTATTGCAGAGGCATAGTGCAACATCTCGTTACTTTGCGAATGGGGAAGTAAATATTTAGTTAACAAAAATGTATCGAAAAATAATCGATATTATAAAACTAATTGCGATTTTGAGACGGCAATACTATAGAAAAATTCATTGCCTGACTCGTGAATTCCACGTTAAATTTCACTTGAAAAACCGATATCGCACTCATCGCTTCGCGATTCGTGCGATATCGGTTTTTTCGCGTGAAATTTAACGTGGAATTCACGAGTCAGGCAATGAATTTTTCTTGAATCGCATAGCCTTTTATAAAAGGAAAAGGAATTATTTTCGAGAAAGCCATTCAACGTCAACTGTCAGGACTGTCAGGAGCAAGCGAACGAATAAGAATCAAGCTAAAGATTCTGTCACAAACTTTATATTTTACCCTCGTGGTAGTAGTTTTTCCATTTTAATTGGGAAAACGTTATTTGTAGACCTTTACGGGTTTGTCAGTAATTATAAGAACTCCGGCAAGTAGCAAAAACTACATAAGCTTATTACTGAAGACATAATGATGAACACTTTTACTTCGGCCGCGGCACACTGAAATGAATCAAAAGAAAACCCGGGAAGAAAAGCTTTGGAAAAGACGTCAAACAATGCTGTAAGTAAGATTATGCTTTATACCTTGAAAGAACTTAGGCTTATTAGCGTACAAAATTCTACGTTTTAAATTTCAATGGCTTAGTCCATCCTTGGTTTGAGAGAAGGTTTTTAGACCTCGTTGACTTGTTTTCGTTTCGAATGTGAATTTATTTTGTACTCAGTGCTGCGTAAACACTTGTTGATCTTCGAGCGGCTGTTTTTGTAGCTTCAGTTAGCACAAGAGAACTATATTTACGGTCAAGCTATCGAAAGTATTAGTCAAAGAATGTAAACAACTATTCTTTCAGCCGAAAATTTTGACTATTTCGCTACAAACGGAACTGAAAAAAGTGTCATCAAATGTGCTTTTAGCGAGTTTACCGAAAAAATCACCACGCGGTATTAAATGATTGCTGTTTTCAAGTGGGTTTTGAAGTAAGATAATTTTATTATGGTCAAACTATCGACGGTGTCACTTCAACAAAATAAAAAGCTCCGGGAAAATTTGGCGTATTTTTTTTCTAGCGGACGTTTTGACGACGTTTTTAAAAGTACTGTTTATTTACGTGTTTTGAAATTGTTCGCGCGGTACAAAAAGCTTATTATTTTGTAGTCGCATGTGGTTTAACGACCAGGTTTATCCGCTACATTTGTGGCTATTTCTCTGACACTATGAAGACATTTAAACGTTTTACTCTTTACTTTACTGTAATACTGTTTCTCTCGGCCGTAGTTTTAGCCAGTTTCCTCTCTTCAGGTTCCTTGTACTTACAAGCATCGATCGATGATCGCGCTTCTTCAATTTCTCGAGAGAGTTGAGTTTGAGTTCAAAGCTGGCTAACTCTTATATCTCGCATTGGAAAAAAAAACCTCATGTTTGCTTTTGGCTTTTCTGACATTGATGCTGACAGTGAAACCATACGAAAACCGCATTTTTATATTTTAATTTGCGATGCCGAAAGTAAACAAACACAATCTCGCGTTGGGCCTCGCTTTCAACTCACTTCAATTCATGCAATTCAGCTATGCAATTCAACTTCTCAGGCATGCAATTCCACGTTGAATACCTCGCATCGATAGCCAATCAGAGTGCGAGAATTCTCTGAGCTATGCGATTCCACATTATATTGGCGGCTAGTTGGGAGAAAATATATTCCGTATTGGGCGGAGTCGCGAAGCGACGGAGCCCAATACGGAATATATTTTCTCCCAACGCCGCCAATATAATGTGGTATTGCCGTCTCAAAATCGCAATTAGTTTTGTATCGCGATTCAAACATTTTTGGACAGATTAAAAGGAAAATTCAGATCAGTTGTTGTGGATTGAAATAGAAATTCCCACTATACGCGACGTAATGTACACGAATACTTGAACGCGAAAGCATTTTTGGTCTCGAAGAAAGTCCGACTTTTTTCGCCGGTAAATTGCTTATGGAAATAAAGGCGATTCAGAATTACGTCCCATGAAGTTTTCTAAAGTACCAAGCGACAATGAAACGGGAAAATAATCCAATTTTGAACCGAAAAAGCTTGTTCAAAAACATCTTACGACAACTTAGCGCGCGCACATCGCGAAAGCAAAGCAGTTGAAAACGGTAAACAAACTCTTTCAAGAAAGAAACGATTTTTATTACTCACCTTACGCTAACTTTTAGATTGAGGAAGTTGTACCGGCGAATAAAGCCTTCCATAACTGAGCAAATGGCAAGAGATACAAGATTGCCGACGATTCTTCGAAGCAAAACGTTTGAATTTTGATGCGTACGTGAGGAACCCAATTCAGTGTCGCGATGTCAATTTGAACTTTGTAACCAATCACAGACCAGAAAAGTGAGACGGCAATACCACATTATATTGACGCCTCGCTCGCTAAGCAAACCTATAAGCGGATCGCGATACCAATTGAAAGTGAAAAATAACAACATAACATAGGCTCCTGTAAAAATTCCCTCAAATGTTGTACTTGAAAAAACTAAGTTACATCGGGAGAAATGAAATTTGGACAGGAATTTGAAAAAACAAAGTGAAATTAAAACGCTTTAATACAGGTAAACTCTATAAAAACTCATAACATGTGTAGGAGTGTATCGATGACAGCGTCCTTGTCTCTTTAGTATATGTTTATCATACTATTTTATTTTGCACGTTATCTTTACTAGTTAACCATTAACTTGTAATACGTATTTACAATTCAAATTTTAGAAGCCGCTATTTTTTTTCATTATAGCCTCGGTCCTTTTGCCGCAGTGCCAGCCTTGTAATCAATTGGTTCCAGGGTCCTGCTGTTTTCATTTGGCGCGGACATTCTCGGGTCCCTATTCCGGTCTTAGTGGGATTAATAGTGTTCTGTAAATTAAGAAGAATCCTACTTACAGCGAATACAGCTGGGTATTATTGCTGAAAATTCCCTCAGGCAACGACTCCAACTGGTTGTTGTTTAGGTATCTACCACAAAATAATCACAACATAATAATCACCATTAATTGCATGCAAAACTATGACATAAGTTAGTGACTGTGTTTGCTGGAAAGGTCCCTTCGACATATATTATGACTAGACTATTAAAACATTCCTGAAGAGCATTGCCTCATTTATTCAATTTTTAGGGAATTCGTTGTATTTCTTGCGAGGGGAAGGGGGGGGGGGGGGGGGGGGGGGGGGAGATACAGCCTAGTTTGCATGAGTCTACCAGCTTTTGTTCCCATCATATATTTACAGTTATGTCTGAATGCCCCTTCCCCCCACCCCTCAGTGCTAGCTCCAGGCTAAATCATTGTTTAATTCTCTCTGCCCCCCTACTTTATCTACAAGAAGACAAGGTCTCAAGATTGAATTACAGCATGGGGAGGATTAATTGAGTGTCTGCTGACGGGCAGAGATGGAAATGTGCGCGCTGCAGAAGTGCGAGCTGTAGATTAAGGCGGAAAGGCAGTTACATTCAGAAGAATATTACAGAAGCTGTTCCTCATTGAGCTTAGTGGTAGGAGGCAAGAGATGTTCGCTGTAACTATCACATTTGTGGAGCATGCAGAACACGAAAACTGAACTTTGAGTCAAAACTTTCAATATTTATTTACGTTTGAAATGTAACCAGAACTTATTTTAGTAGTTCTGTTACCAAGTGAACTGAACAGAAGCCAAAATTCGTTTTCGTTTTGTCATATTATTAGTTGATCGACACATCCCTTGTTAATCAAGGGGTGAGTTTGTCCCAAATTTGGAAATCACGCGATTTTGTTTTTTGAGACGAGTAGACCTTGTGGTCGATTCTTGTTCATTGGAGTGTATAATTCATGTGTAGTAGATTCAAGTGTATTTCA